GCAACCTTTTGATAAGAAGATTAGTATGGATTATCCAGGACCTCTTGGCCAAGACAAGGGAAAAATAACCCCAAGAGCATTTCAAAGATCATCAAGGCTGCCTTTACCTTCTCAGGCCCAGAGTTCAGAGCCTGGAGGACAGAACAATTTTAAAGGAAGAGCCTCAGACTTACCTGTGGGCCCTCAGCACTGGCTACCTGGCACTACCTTAGGCTCTACTCCCTACTTTCCAATGGCAATTCCTGGATGGCAATTTTCAGCCACCCAGGTGTGGCTCCAGTGAGGCCAGGTGTGTGACGACTGCCACGGTTACTACTTGAGACCATCATTACAGCAGTTACTACTGTTACTGCTTGAGACTGTCATTACAACTGAATGAAGGGACAAACATAGAAATGATAACAAAAAACAAAAGTAACTATTTTAAGGGAAGGTTAGCATGGGGAGGAAGAAGAGAGAAGAAGAGAAGAGGAAAAGGGCTCCCTACTTCTAGAGAGCAAAAGCAGCCACCCAAGCTTCCACAGCCCTTCTTATTTATTGGGTAGAATGAGGAGGGAGGAGGAGGTAACGATGGGTCAGCTGCTTAATTGATCACAGGTTCATATTGTTACTAACAGGCTTAAATTATGCGTAATCACAAGAAACACTTGCACCTGGGTCATGACTGCCCTCAGCAGTCCTTCCAGGTGGCATACGCAGTTTGTCAATTTGCCAAAATGCTGCATTTATGAGAAACAGTTTGCTGCTTACTCATATAGCCTCCAGTGGTATACTGAGTTGATCACGACCCTCACTCTTTCAGTCTCCAACAAGGTGTGGTACAGGACACTGTGGCTGCCCCTCTGGAAGACACAAATGATAAATTTTGGCAGCATCCACAGGGTACCGTATCTGCCGGTAACAAAGTGCATGAACCATTGGTGTATGGCTGCCTCCATCCAGATTTAGGAAGATGGAGCTGCCCAGATCCTCAGATTCATGACTCAGGCTGAGAGTTGCCATGGGGTGCAACCACCACAGAGAGCCTCCACTATAGCAATGCTCAACAGAGCCATGGGATCAGGGTCACCATCCCAGTAAGACTATACGACAGAGCCTGGAGTCAAAGAAAATCATTCTCAAGCCTTGAGGTTTTAGACTAGCCCAGGACCTGTCACTCGTTTTTTCTTTTCTATTTCTCTCTTTTGGAATGTTAATGTCTTACAGTGCTTGTTCCACCATTGCATTTTGGAAGCATATAACTTGTTTGGCTTCATAGTCTCACAGCTAGAAGGGAACTTGCCTCAGAATGAATCATATCTTGAGTGTCACCCACATCTGATATCTAAATATCATATTTAGATGAGACATTGGACTTAGACTTTAAAGTCATTGCTGGCACAAGTTAAGATTTTTGAAGCTATTGGAATGGAATAAATGTATTTTGCATGTAGGAAAGACATGAATTTTGGGGTAAGCCAAAATAGAATGCTATGGACTGAATGTTTATGTTTCCCCAGAATTCATAAGTTGAAATCCTAGCCTCCCAAGGTAATGGTATTTGAAGATGGAGCCTTTGGGAGGTGATTAGGTGATGGGTTTAAAGCCCTTACGAGTGGGATTAGTGCCCTTATGAAAGAGGCCCCAGAGAGACCTCTTACTCCTTCTATCATGTGAGGGCACGGTGAGAAGGTATCATCTGTCAACTAGAGAACAGGCCCTCACCAGGCACTGAATCTACCAGCACCTTGATCTTGGATTTCTCAGCCTCCAGAACTGTGAGAAATAAATTTCTATTGTTTAAAAGCCACCTAGTCTATAATATTTTGTTATAGCAACCAGAATTAAGACACTGGCACAGGGTAAACACGTATAACAATAAGTAGTAGTAATTGTGGTGCTGGTGGTTGGCTTTGTTTTTAAGAAAGAAACTATCTCTATCGGCTATGGTCAGGTGAATGAACAGGTTCTTTATTTATGAAAAAGCTCAAGCACTAGCTGTATGGCTTTGGCTACACTTATGAAGCATCTCGGCCTTTGTTTCTCTGATCTCCCAAACATGCAACATGCATAGCAATCAGTTTTACAAGGTTGTTGGGAGACCCAGGTGGGATATTGGAGGTGAAAAGCTGTGGAACTTACCGTTTGTGGACATTATTCTTGCTTCTGCCTCCACCACTGGGTAATTTTCTGCCCCATTCCCACAGTAAATGGCATGACTTAATGTTTAAAAGAAAAAAAAAAACCTCCCAGCTTCCCCATGGGTAAATACATGGTAGTGAGTCATTACTCCTTGTCATGTCATCCCAGAGTCTCAGCCATGTAGTCTTCAAATTCAGGGAATACCAATAAGCCACATCCTAGAAAGGTCAGCAGGGAAGTAAATGGACCAAATGCACAGAGCCAACCCATCTGCACCTCCAGTCACTCTCACACCATTCTGGCTGCTAGAAGGGCATCCAGTTAGAAGGTAGTTGCAATGCCAATGAGCAATATGGTGGTTTTCACCAAATAATGGTGGTGCAGGGGTGGGGTGAGTGGAAAGAGGAATATGGATCTTAGAGATACACAAGACATGAACACTTCCAGCCCTGCTTATCTGTCACCTCCCATGGAAGTCTTTCTTGGCCACTCTGTCTAAAATGCCAACTGCTCCCCATTGCTTTCCAGCTCTTTATAAAATGGAATAATAGCTTTATTACTCCTTGAAAGAATAAGATGTTGATAAGGATTAAATATGTAATACAGGTAAAGGTTTAAAACAGTGTGTGGTTTATAGCATTTAACAAATGTTAGCTTTTATCATTACTATTACCATTACTATTTTTATCTAATTACTATTTCATTCTAGCATGTATGATATTCTGAAAGTATTATCTTGGTTATCTATTTATGTACATAATTGCTATCTGACTTGCCCACTAGATCTTAACCTCTACAAGGAGGTGTCTATGTTACAGCCCTACTAAATACTTAACAAATAGCAGTTGGTTGGATGAACGATTTAATGAGTGAATGAACAGACAACTATCACACTCAGCAGACTCATTTTGTCCCATATCCCAAGAACCTATTTGTAGGAGACACTTTCTTATCTGAATTTTAGGCATGAAGAAATAGTGACACTGAAAACACTGAGTGACTTATTCACACAGGATGACGATGAGCAGGAGATGAACCTTTATCAAATTCTGGCTCTACATCAAGCATGGTGAGAGACCCATTGATTTATCCAGGCTTCTGGTCATTCCACAAAAACATATTAAGTTTCCTCTCTGGGTCATGCATCGGGCCCCTAGCCCCATCCAAAAAGAGGAGCTTTAATCCTGGATTACATCCCACTTTTGTAATCTCAATAGGAAAGCAGGTCTCAGGGCAGACCTCATGGTGAGGAGTAGGCAGGGGCACCCCCTCCCCAGAAGCACAGGCCCTGAAGCGTTGTTGGGTCCTTTCCTTTGACATCTAATTTCCTGATAGATGACTGGCATAGCCAGAATTCAATTGTCCCAGGACCAGCACATGTGGGTCCAGTTTTGTCAGCCTGCAAGGACATTGTGCAGCTTTGTTTGTTCCAGTGTGGGGGGGGGAGGAGGTGTTGATAAGCATCATCACAATCAGGATCTGCCGTCCATGACTTACCATTCATTTCCTAATCAGTCATCACATTTTGTTCAAGCTTAATGCTGACCTATTGAATTTAACGCCACACTCCCCAGCAAAAAGCCACTGCTGTGTTTACTGGGGGAAATCAGCCAGCTCTTGCCCTTGTTGCTGTAGCACACACAGGAAACTTAGATTTTCAGGATATTTCCCCCGCCCCCTCCCTTGTTATCTAGGAGTTCTCATTTTGTTCCAAGATTGTTCCCTCTGTCTTCCCTCTTTCCCTCCATGGTGCCAAGACAACCTGAATTACATTAAAGCCCAGGCGGTTCTATATTCAGGCTACCCTCCTGCTCTCTTCCTTCCCCCATTCCCATCAACACACATGCACACACACACCTGTGTGCACACACCCGTGCACACACACAAATGGGATGTGAGCCAACAGAACACTGTGTGACCTTGGGCCAGTCACATCTTTCTAAGCTTCCATTTCGTCAGCTGTAAAATGAGGAGGGCAGACTCAGTTATCCCTTTCTTTTCTAATATTACATGATTCTAATTTTCCCATGATTCTCAAATGATGGAATTAGAATTATAAAATGTCTGAAATGGAAGATATGGTGAAAACTAATCCACTATTATATCCCCATATTTCAATTATTTCTTATTTTTTGAGACAGCATCTCGCTCTATCTCCCAGGCTGGAGTGCAGTGCCACAATCTTGGCTCACTGAAGCCTAAACCTCCTGGGCTCAAACGATCCTCTCACCTCAGCCTCCCAAGTGCCTGGGACTACATGTGCTCACCACTATACCAGGCTGATTTTGTTTATTTTTTTGTACAGAGAAGGTCTCACTTTGTTGCCTAGGCTGGTCTTGAACTCTTGGGCTCAAGTGATCTATCCACCTTGGCCTTCAAAGGGCCGGGCCTACAGGTGTGAACTGCTGCACCCAGCCCCCATCTTTCAATTATTTTAGTGACACTTTCATCCTTTTTGCCACATCTCCACACTACTATCATTCACTCAACTGTTTTCTTCTTTAAATTAACCTTTTTACTTAAATACATATATTTAAAAGACATCCCTTATCATTACCACAAATAGAAAAACCGTAATCATTTGCTATAAATGTAATCATAATTACAGGAAAATAAAGCAATCTAAGAAAATTTTGGCTGGGCCCCACTGCCTGTCCAAGGACCCCAGCCTGCTGCTTGTCCCTCTCTGTGGAAATGGCAGCACAGTATATGTTTAAAGGCACTAAGGTCATGTTGGCATCAAAGAGACTCTTTTGGCCCTAATCAGAATTGAAAAGAGCCACATTCTCTCCCAAGGGATGTCCATTTTATTTAATACAGAGGCTAGGTGCCACCCAAGATTGCCCTCAAGAACTTCACTTTGGGTAAAATGTTCTCACCACTGGTCTTTAGGTTAATGTTGTAATTAGTTCATCGAATGCTCCAAATTGCCAATATCTGCATCTTCTTCACCATTACCTTCACCTGCGACCATTGCCAGGCAGCTCCTATGAGAAAACAGATAGACTCAGAAATATACACATACACAAGCACATGCTCCAAAACAAGTTTTTAAACAGCACAATGCTTCCCTGGCACTTCCCCAAGTCCACAGCTCTAGGAATCACTGACCTCAGGCAGGTCTATGTAACTACTTTTTCTAAAGAAATCACTGCCCATGTACAACAAAGAGCAGCTTCCCTTGAGCATTTGGGGAGCTCTTGAAGCAACTTCCTTTTTTCCTTTTCTCTCTTCATAGACGCAATGTGGAGTAGGGAGCAGGTGGTACACCCTTGTGAGAAAACAGGTACAGAGACTGGGGGGCGGACAGGGACGAGAGAGAGAGAAAGAGACACTGCCTTCTGTTTATTTTGTGTGCTATAGGAAGAAAATATTTAAACATCTCTACTTTAGATACAGTATGGCTTCCAATTCCAATTCTATCATTTTCCAGCAACACAAATTTGGGCAAGTTGCTCAGCCCCCCTGAGCTTTAATCTCCTCCTTAGCAAAATGGCTCTAGTGACACACCCTTCCTTGCGTTCTGAGGGTGTAAGGCAGGTATGGTACCAGGCACCAAGATAAACATTCATCCAACACTCAGTCCCTTCCTCTTTTACCTTTTTTTTTTTCACTTTGGCACCATTCATGAAGGTCCAAAATTAATCTCCTTTTTATTTGTGTGTTTGTTTGTTTTGCCTTCTAAATCCTGAGTCTCATCTGTAAAATGGAAAAAAGACTGTGAATTTCCATAATGTAAGTTTTGTTTTCTGTGACTCGATTATGGCAAGTGATGTATGAAGGCTGAGTGGAGTGACAAGGAGAGGCACAGAGAAGAGGGAAGATAAATTTTACACCAGCAAACCCAACAATCAACCCCTTTTGAATAATCATTAGCAGCCTGCTGGAAGCTCCAAGTCTCCCAAAGATTTTGGATATGAGAGAGTAACAACATGAATCTAGAAAATGTGGTGCATTTCGTGCATAGATTTGAATTAGAGAATTCTTGGTCAGTTTTGCATATGAAGTTGGGGAGAAGGCGCGGGAGGCGCAAAGAAAAACAGAGAAACACCTCCCCCTGCTGCCTGGATGGCGAATAGCAGCAGAGATGTAAACAAAAAAAAATTCCATGGTCACACAAAAAAACCTTCACCCTATTCCAAGTGTTTGCCAAGGATTTGCTATGTGCAGGTAGCCAAATTTTATGGAACGCATTTTCCTATCCTAAGTTACCTTGAAAGGTCATAAAAAATGATCTTAGGACATTATTACAATGATGATGCTTTCCACTGGGCAGGTTGTTATTTGTTTCTTTAACAGGAAATATATTAGCATCACTTTTAAATTAAAATGATATAAAAGTTATAAATTGAAAAGTCTTGTTTCTGACTGCCTTACGTATACCTAGCTACTTTTATTAGCTTTTCATATAAATATAAGTAAACGTGACTATGTAGTCTTCTTTTTTTCCTTCTTACACAATAATTAGCTATTTGATACTCTTCTGGACATTGTTTTTGTCACTTAACAACATAACTTGGTGATCTTTCCAAAGCAGAAAAGCTCTCCCAGATATGTTTCAGGGCAGAGTAAGCTTCCTTGTTCTTCCTTCCCTGAGCATGTTATATGTGGAAAAAACACATCCCCTCTTGGGGAAATCAGATAAGTTGTTTAAATTATTGCAGATGTGAATGATTTTAATGTAGAAATAGCCTTTTTTGGTTCACATTAATCACAAATACTGTTCACAACACTTCGCAATGAACTTGTCTCCTGCCTATATTTTTTTTTTCTGGTATTCCTTGTTATTAGACCCTCTCGCCTTGGTATCCACTGCGTTCAAGAGCAGAACAGAGCTTTGAACTTTACAGTCTAATGCTCAGAATTAAAAGTGCTTAATGCAACCAAGATTTCTATTTAAAAACCCAGGGTAAAGGAAAAAGCCTTTTGCTTCAGCTGAAATATTCTTGTAGAGGGCAAAATGGAAAATCCAAACACCACCGCCGTTTGCTGGTTGCATGCCACAGCCATCGGCACCTCCTGGAAATGGCAAGGCCGCGAGCTCCTGGTGGAAGCCAGGTTAGTCTTATTGCATTTGAGAGAGCTAGAAAAGTGTCTTCCACTGTGACTGAGCCAGCAAGATTGTGAAGGTTAAAGAAAAAACCAATTATCCATAGCAAACACTGACCATACAATTAAATTACACCAGGCAGGAAAGCATCTGATCTTCTGCAGCAGACTTCTTCCAGCAAATTTACCCTTGAATCAATCTGGGCCACTCACTGGCATCCAGCTATCAGTTTCCTTCTGCTGCCCCACATTCTACAACATGTCTGTAGCAGATGCATCACTGCCCACCTACATCCCCTTGGCCCACCCCAGAGGTCATCTGCAGCTGCAGTGGTCAACGCCCAAGCACGCAGACATCTCAGCATCAAGAACCTGCTTCTCTCTGCCCAAGGGCTTTTTCTGGCCACAGAAGTATCTCCTGCACAGTCCACATATGCAGGGCAGGACAGAAGTTCCAGGGAGCTACCATCCCCAAGAGCAAGCCTCAAGCAATGAGTCGGAGGATAAACACCCAGTTCCCTTGCTTGTCCCTTGCTGGGGCAATCCCAAAGTGTGTGGTGCCCGTACTCTCAGAGGGACACCAGTGCGACTGCCCCAAGTGGGACCTACTCATTAACATACTGCTTATTGGCTTTTCTCTCGTCCCTACTCTCTCATCATTTTTCCGGGATTGACTCCTGTGACAGCCTTGCTCCAGTCAAGAGACAGAAACCACACAGTAAGTTCAATAGGATAAATGTAACACAGAGTCATCGACTACTATGAAGAGTATAGACATAAGGAAACTACAAAGCTGAGAGGGAGAACTTAGGAAAAGACGAACTTGAGAGGGATTCAGACCTCTTGGGAAACGGTGAGGTTCAGCCCACGAGACAGCAGGGAAGCTGCTTTGGCCAGCCTGGAGCTGGCCTGGAATTGCTGGGAACCACCAGAGCGCAGCCAGCCTCCGGAGTGCAGCGGGAGCCAGTCAGCAACTGATGGTGAGGGCTGGAGCCCGGGAGCTGGCGGGGGCTGCTGGAGGCTGCAGAAGGAGCGGCTACTCAACGCGTGACCCTGCCAGCTAAGTGCAGCTGCACACAGGCCGAGCAGAAGCTTGTAAAGGGAGGCTGAGTTCCGGGCCCAAGAGCAGCAAACAGGGAAAGGGAAGGTAATCCGGACACCGGTAAGGGCAGGAGCCCTTCGGAGCGCTCATTCTGTGCTTGGGGGCTCTGCTTTCCATGTCAAGAGGGCTGCACAAAAATTATCACCAAGCCGGGGCTGCAGAGTCACAGAAGGACCAGTTCCACCCGCTCTCCTTGCTCACCCACACTATTGAGCCGCTGTCCCCGTACAACCGGCAAGGACCCTCCTCCGGCTGTGGTGTCCTCCAGCGCCCTCTACTGAGGAAGCCTAGCATCGCGCGCACTTAAAGAAGACGGGCTCAAACGCAGGCCTTTGTTAGTCCCAGAACATACATTAATAAAGGGTCCATTCAGAGCTGACAGGCATAAAAAAATATTTTTTAAAAAAGATAAATACATCTCCCAAACTCCCACTTGCACTCAAACCCTTGTCTCAGGATCTGCTTTTGAAAGAACCCAAATCACAACAGTGTCAGAGAGCTGATTTTTGTTGACAAAAAGAGTCAGACTCTAAAATATTTAAAGAAATTTATTCTGAGCCAAATGAGAGTCACCAATGGCCCGTGACATAGCCTTCAGGAGACCCTAAGAACAAGACCCCAAGGTGGTTGGGGCTTCGCCTAGATTTATACATTTTAGGGAGACATGAGACTTCAATCAAATACATTTAAGATACATATTGTTTCAGTCCTGAAAAGGGAAACTGGAGGGTCTGCTTCCAGTTGTGGGTAGATTTAAAATTTGTCTGATTTAACAATTGGTTGAAAGAGTTATTATCAATAGAAAGAAATGTCTAGGTTACAATAAGAAGTTGTGGAGACCAAGGTTTTATCATGCAGACGAAGTCTCCAGGTAGCAGGCTTCAGAGAGAATAGAATGTGAATGTTTCTTATCAGACTTAAGGTCTGTGTTGATGTTAAATGCTGGTCACTTTTCCTGAATTCCTAAAGAGAGGAGGGTATAATGAGACATGTCTGACACCCCTTCCTGTCATGGCCTGAACCAGTTTTTCAGGTTAACTTTGGAGTGCCCTGGCCAAGAAGGGCCAGGAGGGGCCCTTCAGTTGCTTGGAGGGGCTCTAGAATTTTATTTTTTGTTTATATTTTAATCTTGGCTCTGTATGACCTCAAGAAAGGGTCCTATCAGCTTAGAGTGCCCACTTTCTCATCTGTAAGATGGAGGTGATCCTTAACAGTCCACCTCACAGGGACTATTCTTGAGAGAATGCAACAAAATAGACCACCTGCAATGCACTTGGTACAAAATAATTGCTCAAATAAGTGCTTGATATCACCTCCCTTCCGCCTTTTCAAACCAAATCAAAGCCCCAAAGGTGGTTCTTCCTTTCTTTAAGTAAGAGTCAAGGTATGAGAATGCTCCGAGCTACTCTGTTCAAGACATTTTTCCCTTAAATGTGGCCCAGGACATCTTGGAGGAAAATGGGGAGATTAGAAGGAGGCCTTGTCCTGGAAAGGAATGATTTGAAGTATTGGAAACAAATGATAAACAAGTGTTTCTCTACAGAGAAAAAAGTTCAAGTAAAGTTCTCTAGGATATGACAATTTCTGTTGGCATTTAAATGAATGAGCTTTAAAGCAGGGAATAAGCAGTGTGATAATTGCTACCATTAATTAAGAGTTCACTATGTGCCAGGAATTCAAAGTCATAACCTCTCTTAGTCCTCATAACAATTCTTTAAGGTAAATGCTATTTTTAATCTCATTTATGCAAATGATGAAACAGAGGCTTGAAAACATGGAGCAGTTTTCCCAAGGTCAGAGCCAGGATTTGATCGCAAGCCTACCTGACTCTAATCCTTGGCTTCAATTGCTGTGGTGGATACAACTGGGATTGAGCCTAAGGAGTCAGAAGTCTGTGGTCCTGGTCCAGGCTTTATGTTTGAATCCCTATGTTTTCCAGTGAGTAATTCTTCCCTCCCCAAAGGGATGATTCCTTCATCTGTAAAATCAGAGAGCTGAGTTAGAATCAGGATTTCTGCAGAGGTGGCACCACACCCAAGGATATTTTGGAAAACTGTGAGGATAGCTGGTGCTATGATAAGAGGGCACTCAATGATATTTCATGGTCGAGGACCAGGGTGAGTAGATGCCCTACATATCCCACAAGATATTTGTGTAGTTGAAAAAGTTATGTGAACCTAGAACCTTGCTCCATTTTACAACTAAAAACAAGTAAATTCTTATACCATTTAATATCCAGTGAATTTTCCAGGGTCAATTGAAGAAAGATTGTACTTTATTTTATGATAAATTTTACCAGGAGTTGGTCACTATTTGGTAAATCATATCACCAACAACAGTGCAAAACATGATATGCATTAGCAGATCATCCCCTCTCACTTTGCATTTGTACTGATTATGGATACAGTCACAAATGTCTGTGTATTTCTTGGGGCCTTTGAGTGTAGTATTCCCTACTTATCTGTATATTGAAACACTCATTACCACTCAAGAGGAGAACGGATAAATAAATCATGGTATATTCATAAAATGGAGTACTACAAAGTAAATTAAAAAAAAAAAAACTACTAACATGACAACATGGATGAATCTCATAGACATTATGTTGAACAAAGAAACCAGACACAAAAGTGAAAATATTGTACAATTCCACTTGTGTGAAACTGAAGAAGAGTCAAAATCAATTGATGGTGGTAAGTATCAGAATAGTAGCACACCTCCTGGAGACACTTTTAACCAGGAAGGTACTCAAGAGAAGCTTCTGGAATGGTAAGTTCTATGTCATGGTCTGAGTGATGGTTACACAAGTATATAAAACTAATTAAATATTCATCAAGCTAGACTGGGTGTAGTGGCTCACGCCTGTAATCCCAGCACTTTGGGAGGCCAAAGTGGGTAGATCTTCTGAGGTTAGGAGTTCAAGACCAGCCTGGCCGACATAGTGAAACTCCATCTCTACTAACAATACAAAAAAATTAGCTGGGTGTGGTGGTGCACGCCTGTGGTCTTGGCTACTCAGGAGGTGGAGACAGGAGAATTGCTTGAACTCAGGGGGCAGAGATTGCAGTGAGCCAAGATCATGCCACTGCACTCCAGCCTGGGCAATAAGAGCAAAACTCCATCTCAAAAAAAAAAAAGTTCATCAAGCTGAGCACTTAAGACTAATGCACTTGGACACACCTTAAAGTACCTACATTTTACCTCAGTATTTTCTTTTTTACAACTCCATTTGAACACCTGAGTTTAAATAGTCACAAACAAAAGGCATCTGGAATCAGGCATCTGGGTCCAAATCTCAGATTCTTCTTACCACTTCTTACTTTGTAAGATCTTGAGAAAATGACTTACCTTGTCTACGATTCCATTTTCTTTCATACAGCGTGAGAAAAATGGAAAGCAGATCACTACGCACTCGTTGCCAACTTCTCTGGGTGCAGTGAGACAGAACACATTCGCACACAAGTTACATGAAGCAGATTTATTACTTATAGATAGGCAGCAAGGATAACAGAAGACTGGGATTCATTTTAAGCTCGTCCCCAAGGCTCAGAAAAGCTTCCTAAGGCAGATGATGCTCCGTCTGCCTGTGCCCTACTTGCACTGCAGCTAAGGAACCAGGGAAAGCAGCCCACCCTGGGTTGTATTCCCTATGGTCACATGACATGCTGGGCTAAAGCACTGAAGGACACTCTGTTTCTTTCTCTTTTTTCATATACTTTTAAGTTCTGGGGTACATGTGCAGAACATGCAGGTTTGTTACATAGGTACACACGTGCCATGGTGGTTTGCTGTACCCATCAACCCATCATTTACATTAGGTATTTCTCCTAATGCTATCCCTCCTCTAGTTCCCCACCCCCTACAGGTCCCGGCGTGTGATATTCTCCTCCCTGTGTCCATGTGTTCTCATTGTTCAACTCCAACTCCCACTTATGAGTGAGAACATGCAGAGGACACCCTTTTTCTTTAGGAGGATGGGGCAGGACTGGAACAGAACTGGAACAGGAGAAGACTGTTCCAGCCATCTCCCCCTTTATCTCAGATGCTACACTCGTGGCACATTCTATAGTTACTCTTGAGAACTACAAGTGGAAAAGGAGTAAAAACTGGTTTGGTCCAAGGCCACCTGGAGCACTGTCCTGCAAAGAGTAATTCATTCCTCTCCAGTTTGCTGAGTGCATTCAAGACATAACACATGTAAGAGTGTCTACCACTCTCCTTATGTTCAATAGCTATTCATTTCTTCTACACAAATTTCACACTCCATTTGCTCTGACTTCCCAAAACAGAGGTGTGTCAGTGATGGCAAATTTGTGACATTTGTGTTCCTCAGTGCCCCCTCCTGAGCCTTGAAGGATATGGCTAATCCACTACACCACTCTTCCCTGCTGACCCTTAAAATCCATCTCAACACAGTACTCCCTGAGGCTTCACCACTTCATGAGAGTTGGGCATGAAAGAAAACTTATTTGCCATCCTGGCCTATGTCATATTCATCTTTGCTTTGGCTGTAGTATCTAGTACAAGCACTTGTCAAGCTTGTGAGAAATGAAAAAAGAGCTGATATTTATTACACATCTAAACAACACACTGAAGCTGGAGTTTTTTTTATACATTGCCTCTTAAATCCACACACAAAAAATTCTGTGGGGGAAAAAAAGCATAATTCTTGTTAAGAAATTTTAAAAAAAAAATCAAGCTTATTTAAATAAGAAAGGCCTGTCCACAGATGACAGATGGTTAAGCCAAGTTTAAATCCAGGTTTGTCTGCCCCAGATGCCCAAGGTCTGTCCACCATGGGCATCTGTGTGGCATCACTTCATCAACTGTGGACACACAGTGCAAGTCCAACATTAGAAAGTAGGTATGTTCTCTCTTCCTTGGCACTGCCTATGGAGGTGGCAGCCATGTCCTCCTCAGCATCATGGCCGCCTTCATACCCCTTGTGAAGCCCAAAATAGTCAAAAAGAGAACCAAGAAGTTCATTGGGCACCAGTCAAACTGATATATCAAAATTAAGCGTGACTGGCGGAAATCCAGCGGTATTGACAACAGGGTTCGTAGAAGGTTCAAGCTCCAGATCTTGATGCCCAACAGTGGTTATGGGAGCAACAAAAAAACAAAGCATATGCTGCCCAGTGGCTTCCAGAAGTTCCTGGTTCACAACGTCAAGGAGCTGAAAGTACTGTTGATGTGCAACAAATCTTACTGTGCTGAGACTGATCACAATGTTTCCTCCAAGAACTGCAAAGCCATCATGGAAAGGGCCACCCAGCTGGCCATGCGAGTCACCAACCCCAATGCCAGGCTGTGCAGTGAAGAAAATGAGTAGGCAGCTCATGGGCCTGCTTTGTGTTTACATAAAACTGTAAAAAATAAACAAATAAATAACAGAAAAAAGAAAGCAGATATGCAATATCTACTGTCTTCTCTCAACAATAAAATCATCCAGAATTCAGAACGAGAAAAATAGATGTGCTATCCTACTAGAAGTGAGTTAAAAAGAGGATATAGGAAATTATTTCATGCCAAAAAATAAATAAAACTAAGTGAGTTCTGATGGTTAAAAAAGAGCAAGACAGAATCAACAGCCTGCAAGACTAACAATTCACTGGCTGCTAATTCTGCAGATTTGCTTCTTCAAACACAAGCACATTAGGTATTCTGCTAATGGAGCCAAAAGCACCTTCTCTAATCCCAAGTGAAGTGCAGATAGCTGCTCTCTGCCGAGCCTTGTTTTTCTTGCTTTCATTTTGATTTGCTTCCTGTGGGTTTCATGTACCTCATCAGAAACTGAAGGCAGGAAAACAGAGCTGCCCCCTGACCAAAGTAAAGCTCTCATAGGGAGGGCCAAGGGGACTCACAGTGCGCAGACCTCGTGCATGTCAAGGCCACTGTTTTGAATCTGAAAGTACACATTATAATGCCGTCTCCGCTGAGGAGGACATGACCACAGAGAGGAAACAAGAGAAAAGATGGGGAGGAGGAGGAATGCTAGAATGTCACAGCCAGGAGGGCCTGTGGAGGTCGCTTTGCCCATTTTCCCAAATGTTTATCATGTTGGCCATAATCCTATACCACCTGCACTATTACTTACTTATTCTCTTTCTTCAAGTAAGCTCACTTATTCAATTAAATGTAGCTTCATCTTAATCAATATCAATGAAATCACACATTTGATGTGATAGTTACATTTTTTTCCTAATAGACTTTAAAATAAACATAACTATGAAAACTTAAAATGTTCATCCATGCATCATACATAAGCTTGTATCTCCCTAGTGGGACCTGCACCACACACTGAGAAAGACTGATAGTTCATTGGATTCTAGGCTTGTTTTTTAGCAGTGGAAATACTTCGGGGTTTTAATGGACCCCAATCTGTCCAATAGATAACTGCTTTGAAGAAAGCTGCCCAGGGCGGCTTGGAAATCTGGCCTTTTAGCATCTACATTGCTGCTCACCTTGCTCAAGACCCCAGAGGTCACTTGGCTCAAGGCTCAGTAAGCAGCATTTGAGGCCAGGCACAGTGGATCACACCTGTAATCCCTGCACTTTGGGAGGCCAAGGTGGGCAGATCGGCTGAGGTCAGGAGTTCGAGACCAGCCTGGACAACATGGTGAAACCCTGTCCCTACTAAAAATACAAAAAATTAGAAAGGTGTGGTGGTGTGTGCCTGTAGTCCCAGCAACTTGGGAGGCTAAGGCAGGAGAATCACTTGAACCCAGGAGGCAGAAGTTGCAGTGAGCTGAGATTGCACCACTGTACTCCAGCCTGGTCGAAGGAGCAAGACTCTGTCAAAAAAAAAAAAAAAAAGTTGAAACTCTGTTCCAGCTCCAGCTCGTTTTACAGAAAAGTAAATTAAAGTATGAAGAAGAGAAATGATGACAAGAGGTTGCACAGAAAGTTACTGCAGAAATAGATGTGGAAGCCAGAGCCCTTAATGCACATCTAGAGATCGTGGCACTACCCTGTACCCTGGAAAACCTTCAACATGGGCCACAAAGACGGCACATAGCCTTCCTCCACCTCCCTCCTGCCACACATGCTGGTTTGAAGAAATATTTGAGCTGAGAGGGGAGGAAATCTGTGGCTAGGGAGAAAGACAACGAGGTAGAATTTGGACAATTAATTGCTAGGGTGCTACTTGGGCTGAAAGTTGTTTGGACTGAGAATAGAAGACCAATGCATGGGAGCCTCAAGGTGACAGACACAACCAAAATGCACCACATCATGTGGGCACCTGTTTCCCCAGTTTTCTTCAACTGACTGAAGCATCTAGAAATGCACCCAAATGCCCAAATCCTACCTGAGAAGCTTTGAAGAATAATTTGAGACAAATTCTACACCTTGACTCCTTCCTCATCTGCAGCTCCTCCTTCACCCCACCCCTGTCCAGCCACGCCCTTCCAGCATCCTTTTGTGGGTCTTTATGTCTAAGGACATCTAGCATCTCCATGTAGAGCAAATTTGCCATTGCAGCATCTTCAGGTCTCCTCTCCATCCATCATGCTGATCCACACAACACAGGTGGTACAGTCCATTCTGCTGGTGATGACGTCTTCCTCCTTCAAAGGCTGGAGAGGGGGTCATAAATAATAACACTTTAATAGTTTTGCTCATCCACCACAGCCTAGCTCAATATAAGAAATCATTTTCCAACAGCCAGAACTTCCCCAAAAAAGCTGAGCTGACTACTACACACAATGATATGCCTCCATCACTAGGGGATTGCTTGAAGGGGCACCACTGGGAGATTCTGGCCTTATATGAGGAATTGCACTGAATGACCACTAATACCCCCTTCCAACCCTGTGTTCTCTGATTCTACAAGGGTTTTGTGGCCTTTGGGTCACAGTGAGGGAGATTATGAAACATACAGCAATTTGGGGGAGTATTTTTGATTGAGAAGCATCTTTGACTCTAGAGCAGGAATCAGGAAACTTTTTTCATAAAGAGCCAAAGGGTACAAATAAGTTCTTATTGTAATTATTCAATTCTGTCTCTGTAGTATGAAAGCAGCCATAGACAATATGTAAACAAGTAAGAGTTGTAATGTTCCAAGAAAACTTTATTTATAACACAGGTGGCAGTTGAGTCTGAAATCATTTCAAAATAAAAAGTTAATAAATGCTGACAGCCGGCGAGATTTGACCTGCTGGCTGAGGTCAACCAACTCTTGCTCCAGAGAAAACCTGTCTACCTGGATAGCTCCCCTCCTCCTTCCTGCTTCACCCAGTCAATCATTGAGCCTAGTCAGTACACCTCCTGAATATTATGTGACCACCCATAAGACAGATAAACCAGTCCCCTTACGTAATCAAACTCACATCATCCATGAGGGAGGATCCCAAACTGACCTCCCCTTTTAGGGACAAGCATACATTTCTTAAAATGTCAATGGTCCAGCATGGTCAACCTGGGCAACTTGGCAAAAACCTGTCTCTATGAAAAATACAAAAATTCGCTGGGTGTGGTGACACGTGCCTGTAGTCCCAGCAACTTAGGAGGCTAAAGTAGGAGGATAGCTTGAGCCCAGGAAGCAGAGGTTGCAGTGAGCCAAGATGGCACCACCACTGCACTGAGTGACAGAGTAAAGTCCTGTCTCAAAAAAAAGAAAAAAAAATCAGTGGTCAGTAAAACTCCAGGGTGGAAGTGTTTTAGCCTTTCAATCAGGAGAACTATTGTCTATTTAGAAATGCTGAGTACAACCCTCCTCCCTTCCAGATTGCTAACTAACAGAGGGCAGAGGCAAGTAGCTCCATGAGAATCAAGACACAGTAAGTACTACACTTCCCTTCGGGAAGGCAAGTACCGAATAACTCCAGTACTTAATGTTTTGGCTTTACTCTGTTGGAGAACATGGATGATAACAGACATTCTCCAGTATCCTCCTCAACCCCTTAAGACCTTTAGGCCAATCCAGAGGAAAACCAAAGCTCAGGAACTAACCCAAAGTCCACCTGAGCAAGAGCTGCTTTCTTGAATTTCTCTCATAACCAAAGCAGGAGACAGCAAGACAGCAAGTATCACTGATCCCACAGCCCTGCATTTCAATGTAGAGGCCCCATCACCCTGGTTAACATGACCATAATCTTAGTGGTGATGTGGTGAGAATCTAGAATCCACTGGATTGTACTGACCAGAGGTCAGAGCTACCACACTGACTACAGGAAGGGCGCAGGAGGAACAGGAAGAGGGATGTTCACTGCCCAAAGGGACAATTCTAATAAGATGCTGATTAGCTTAACCAATTAGCAACAGTGTCAGTAATAAAATATTACAAATTGATCTATCTACATCTTATCTCATGTATTATTCTCAACAACCCTGTGAGATCGACATTCATATCAACGGCATTTACATATAATGACTTAACTAGCGGAGATTGAATCCTAAAACTGGTTGAAACTAAGAAATCCTGGGTGTTTTATATGTTCATGGTGAAAACTTGAACTTACCTTTGGAGCAAGTCATCCCATTGTTCTGGAAATAATCACTCAGTGATCCCTTTGAGTTATACCTGGGTAAAGTAATTTCATTCCTACCCACTGGTTTTGGAATAGGGACTTTTTAAAATTGGATATGCAGCTTGGAAAGAGCATGGGTTTAGAAGAAGCTGATAAGTAAACTGATGAAAGATCCTTTTTCATACTTAGTTTACATATATGAATCTACACATATATGCAGAAGGAACCAAGGATGCTTCTGGAAGAAGAGGGTTTGGTATTTAACTATTTATTAGAACACATCTGATGGACAAGACTGTACCCACCTGGGGCCAGGTGGAGGGAAGAAATGAAAGAAAATCACCAACAGGAAGATGGAGTGTGGACTGGGTAACCCAGACCTACGTTTTTGGAACAAAATGGTGGTTCTAGGCAGTAAATGGATGGTGCTATAACTCATTGCAATGTGGCTCCCCAGGTGCTGAGCTGTGCCTTGGGAAGCTTGGCTTCACTTAGGTGAAGTAGAAGACCTGACCTCTTAAGGTCAGGTCTTATGGTCAGGTCAGGATACCTCTTATGACATTGATCATCTTACCATTTCTAAGGTTCTGTTTCCTTGTCTGTAAAATGATGATATTAATGATACTCTCAAAGCAGTTTCTCAGATGACTACTCTCTTCCCTGGCAACCCAGGCCAATTGGGGAGAGAGTATTCTTGCCCAAGGATTACCCAGAGAAAGACCAGCATCCACTGTTCTCAGATGAACCACTGCAAAAGTTGGCATTTCTCCAGACCACAAGGCCTTCCAGCTTCAGCAAGTGAACAAGGATCTCAGTAGCTATTTTTCTCATCTGCAGAGCACCAACAGGGGTTCTTGCACATTCCATGAAAGGGCTCCTGAAGACAAGAAGTTACAGATGACTGCACTGCCTGCCAATCTGAGCAGGTGGAGGGTTGGAGTTACAAAGTGACTGTTAGCAATGGATTGTTTTGTATGTTGTATTAACATGAGCTGTTGTGGTCCAGCGACACCCAGGTAAAGAGCATGGCGGCCAGACGGGGTCCAGAGAGGCTTAATAAGAGAAGCTCAGCAGTTCCTAACATTCACTATACATAGTACTTCACCGAGAGCTTCCAAAATAGATGGATGTTTGTGCTGAAACCTAGTCCAATTGAATCAGTCTTTTGGAGCAGAGCCCAGGAATTAACTATTTTTGAAAAGCTCCCCAAGTAAATATAATGTGTAGCCAGGTTGTGAAGTACAGAGCTAGCCCAAGACAGATAAAAAGAGAGAGAGAGAGAAAGACAAAAAGGGAGAGAGAGGCATTTTGTAGATCAGGAAGCTAAAGATTAGAAATTCAAATGACCATCACAAGGTCATTCAGCTGATAAGTAGCAGAATCACATGTCATATTCAGGCCTGTCTGATTGCTGATCATATACTGATTTAACTCTAACATGGTATCTTGGGGATTCTGCAGAATGAGGAGAGAAATTGACAGATAAAAGGGAACAGAAAAGCACGCCTTCTCCAACCTCAGCTTTCTCCTTAACCTGATAAAAACATTCTTGCAGTAAATAAAGGGGGAATCTTGCATAGAGACACAAAATACTACTTCTCCAAGTCAATGAAAAGCCATCCGGCCTAAATCAACATATTTCAAGATAAGTCTCTTCTCACACCCACCCCTTCGCCCCAACCACCACTTATTTATAGCTGAAAAAGTTGTCAAGCTCAATACACTTGGGGTACCACTGGAAGGCAGGCACTGAACGGAATGGAAAAATATGTGCCTGGTGAGACTTGCAATGTACTGGAATCACACCTGTACTGGGGCTTCCAGCCCACATAGGTCACAGGCAGAGAAAGAGCGAGATATTGAGAGAGAGAGCTCATGGGGAAAATGGTACAAGTCAGGCTGGTTCAGAGGCATCAGACATTACCAGAAAGGCCTTTATGAAATCGTAGTTTACAAGTGCCCTCTGTTAAATCAAGTTTAGCATAAAGCTGCCTCCTTACATACTTTAATTTCAGCCTAAGGATTTCTCTGTACATTGTGAACTATAACAAGTGGAGGTGTAAATAGATCATAACCTACGATTGTGCCAGTCACGAGTTTTGGTCAAGCAAATGTACAACTGTTCAAACCATGTTCAAATAAAGCAAACATCAAGCTGTAACCAATCCAATTCTGTAACTCACTTCTGTTTTCTGCACCTCACTTCCGTTTTCTGGGCATTACTTTCCTTTTCCCGTCCATAAATATTTCTCCACCACGTGGCTGTGCTGGAGTCTCTTCCCAGCCTACTCTGGCTGGGAAGGCTGCCCAATTCACAAGTCGTTCATTGCTCAATTAAACTCCTTTAAATTTAATTCAGATGAAGTTTTTCTTTTATTACCTCTGAGCATGTGTGAGAACTTACTGAATAATATCATTAGAGCTATTATTTATGGAGAGCCAATGCACCAAGTCTTCAGCAAAGACTTTAATGGGAACCATATCATTTACCACCCCATCCCATCCCCAACACGCCCCACCCCGCCGCCCACACACACATACATCTATACACAGCGAGATTGGTAGTATTATTCTCATTGTAATGATAATGAAACTGAGTCCTAGAGATGTAAATAAACTGATCAGCCAAAGTCCCAAAGCAAGTAGTTATGGAGCTGGTATTCAACCCTAGGGGAGGAAATGACAGCAAACCTCATTTGTTACTAGGAGTGTGGGGTCTATTTGACTACAGAACTTCTGGCAGTGAAAATGCAGGCAAGAAGCCAAAAGCCCATTGGCAGTTTCTCCTCTTTCCCTATCTTCTCCTTGTCCTATAACTAGGAAGAAAGCAGGGAGAACCTGCAAGGCACTTGCAATGGTGTACTGCTAGGTCTCCAGAGTCCATAGGAGCTCAATGGGCTTTACCAAACCACACAGCTCCCTCTCTTACAAACTGTTTGTTTCAGGCCCTGTGTGGAATGCAGTCACCTAGTCAGTTGAAACCAGTTTCTGACAGACCCTGGCAACTTATAGATGAACCCAAGTGAACTTTCCTCATTACCATGCTAATGTCTCCCGCCCAGAAGGAGCTATAAAGCAGGTGACCTATGCGCTGGCATGATGACTCACTGCATCTGCGCCACTGGGACCCTTTCCCTGCATGAGATGACACATTCTCACCCCCTCCATCGCCCCATAAAACTCTCCTGTCACTTTCCCTCACAGAGACACTGCTTTAGAGAATGCTCCCAGTGCTCTCCTTACTTGTGATGAGTAATAAAACTCCTATGGATCAAAACCTGTGTTCTTGTGGAGAGTTGTTGATTGCTTGCCAGGAAGATGAACCTTGGTTTTGTTTGGGTAACATCGCTAAGTGTTTAAAAACAGACTCTATGGGGAAAGAAAGCCCTGATTTGTGGCATTTGACAGTTTCTGTGGCATTTGACAGTTTCTGTGGCATAAATACAGCCACAATGGCCATTTTAAAGCTACAAAGTTGTCATGAACTATTTCACAAATTTCCTGAAAATGTAACAGGAGTTGATTGAACTGACTCCAGTACACCAAGGAATTGATTTCATTCTAAGAATATAATGCTTGTTAGTTAGAAAAGAGATCCCCCATTCTCCAGTCCAAAAGCATCCAGATTGTTTTAGCATCCCTCAGTGATCTCGTTCAAGGTTCTTCTCACAAGAACCAATGAGTAATTTACTTCAGCTCAGCAGACCCACACAATCTGGTTGAGTTGATTGGCATAAGCCATACACACTAATGAATTAAAGCTCCAGCCTTGATGGGCTGAAGATCCAAGGAAGTGACACTCTAGACCATAAAAATCGATTAAATGGCTCTTGATAAACTGGAGAAAAGTTTCACCCAAGTCAAGATTGGGTTCAATTACTGAAAGAGCAAATTAGAACTTTTCAAAGTTAGAAAGCAGAGTGAGAGTAAACTGCACACATATATCTTGGGGGCAAAAAGAGGGCCCCAATGAATCACAGACTACCAGTCTTTACAAATCAATATGAAATAAAACAGGTAATAATGGGATTCCAGTAAAAGAAATGAGTGATTCTTTTCTTACTGGGGACTGAGACCTCTTGGGTTCAGATTTGCTTTGCTGCTTCCTAGAACGCTGGCTTAATTTGCTCTCCCTGGGTGTAGGTACGATGGAGCGCTTAAATGCACAGGCTATGGTTTTCTTCTCTGTAAAATGGTGATATTAATAATACTGTCAAAGCAGTTTCTCAGATAAATTCAATGGAACATTGACACACATTTTATTTCAAGCTTGGTGGAAGGGAAAAGACTTCTAGTTCAAAAATTTACTTTTGGGAGGAAAAAAATGACTTATTAATATTATTCAGCTAGAATTTGAAAAGAGGAATATCTGGTTTAAAGATTATTAGGATAGTACAAGGCTTAAAGAGTGTTGTGCCCTTAAATGTCTGGTTAAAGGTTACTGAACACATCTAAAATATAACAGCAGAGTGGTGCCAATCTAGCTTCCCAGAAGGACTCTAAACCTCATTAAAATCTATCAGAAAGGCCAGGCGCGGTGGCTAACACCTGTAATCTTAACACTTCGGGAGGCCAAGGTGGGCGAATCACGAGGTCAGGTGTTCAAGACCAGTCTGGCCAACATGGTAAAACCCCTTCTCTACTAAAAATACAAAAAATTAGCTGGGCGTGGTGGCAGGTGCCTGTAATCCCAGCTGCTCGGGAGACTGAGGCAGGAGAATCACTTGAACCTGGGAGGCAGAGGTTGCAGTGAGCCAAGATCATGCCACTGCACTCTAGTGCAAGACTCCATCTCAAAAAAAAAAAAAAAAAAAACCAACTATCAATAAAATACTTCAGTGCTTTATCAGGAATGCTAGATCCTTTCCAAAGAGGCTGAAAATCCTATTAGCCTACAAAGTTCTGCCCTAGCTCAGGTTTGGGATAATTTCCTTTCATAGTAACCATCACATAGGGCTGGTGTGAGGATTAAATGAAATGGCAACAGCTAACATACACACACTTGGGTGTTTATCTTGTGCCAAGACTGGAAATGAGCTCTTTACATCTGTTATGAAGTCATGCCACTTCCCACTTTAAAATTTTTGAGGGGCTTTGCATTGCACTTAGTACAAAACACACTTCCTTATCCTTGTTTTCAAAAACCTACATGATCTAATTTCATTCGCTGCCACTCTGCCTCTTGCCCATTAACCTCAGCTGCAATGACCTTATTTACGTTCTTCAAATACATCGAGCTGATTCCTGCCCCAGGACCTCAGCACCAGCTGTTCTCCCTGCCAGGGCTGCCCCTCCTTATTTTCTCACGGCTGACTTCAACGTGATGTTCGGAGGTGAGAAAGGCCTACCCTAACCTGCAAGTTGCTTCCAGTCACCCTTTATCATATCACTCCACTTAATCTTCTACAGAGTGCTTATCTCTATCTGATATTTTACTTGTGCGTTTCTTTTCTGACTAGTAATTCCACTAGAATGGAAGCACCATTAGGGAAAGGGCTTTGTCTGTTTTGCTCAACTGCTTTCTCTCCCATTCCTAGTACAACACCTGGCACATAATAGGAGCCCAAAACATATTTGTGAATGAAGGAGTGATCTCAATCAACCATACCTAAAACCCTATGGCAAGGTCTGTTATTTTTACAATTTCACAAGAAAAATGGCACAGAGAGGTTGAGCAACTTGTTCATGGTCATAAGTTAGAAAATAGCAAAGCTGAAATGCAAAGCTGAAATTCAAAGACCCCAGGCTTCACCTCTTCATCCTTATGCCTGTAAAAAAAAACTTCTTCATCCATCCTTCCTGTTTTATACTAATACATTTCACATTTAGTCTAAGAAATTGAAACACGTCTGCCTTTGCTTTAGATTTCATTTAAATTATTTCCTCTACCATTCATTAATCAAAGAGCTATCTAGTGTTTTCTGTAAATTAAGAAAACTGAATATACCTATGAACGTCTGAATATATATTTTCTTATGACTGATCCTGAAAATTAAGCTGCTTACAACTTGTTCTTGTCTTCAGCCCATCATTTCCTGGTTCAAGGCCACTTTCTCCAGAGTGTTTCACTGGTTAGCTTAGCCCATCTCAGCCACCCTTCTATTAGGTTGGTACAAAAGTTATTGCCGTTTTTTCCATTGAAAGTAATGGCAAAAATCCACAATTACTTTTGCACCAGCTTAATACATAAATGCACATCATTTTCTACCACTTTGCCCTCATTTCTACTTATCCAACTACTCCTGTTGTATTTTATATATGTATTGTATATATAAGAAGCATGTTTTATGCTTACAATTAGCACATTGGCTCCCAGAGACTGGGGTCCATGCCCACTGGGCTTCCTATCCTAAGCACATCTACATGAGCACCAAGAAGATGGTAAGAATCCCTGTCCAGTTGCCTAATAACAGAAAATGTGAATATATAAACAAAGTGCATCTCCTTCTCCCTTCTCTGTTGAAATGCTTTAATGAAAAATTGTTTAACCACCATTATAATTTGTTCAACATATTTGCCACATCAAAGTGTATTTCTAATAACTTAAAAGAGTAGAAATTTAAATTTACGCTCAATCAAGAAGAATCATAGCCGTCACTCAGTCTTTTTGTAATGATTATTTGAATCTCAACTTTCAATCATAGTCTCTTATTCTTGTCACAGAAAAAGGGATTCATTTAACCACAATCACTTCACTTAAATACAAAAATGTACAATTGTCAATTTAGTATTCATTATTTAAAATAATCACTGATGAATATTTTTATTCACTTTTCTTTCAAGAAATAGGCATATCTTCTCTTTTCTTTTATTATTTATCTATTATCTTAAAAAATGAACAGCCTAATTCCAACTTTTGAGGCATATGATTAAACTCCATAGAAATCACTCTTGAATCAAATCTTTCTAGCAAGAAAGTTCTTGTTTTAAAAGACTTGTCTCCATCCAATCCATGACCTCTCTAGAGCAACTGAGGCACCAATATGAAAAAGAACAACTTACCTAGCTTCAAGAGTATCCGACTTCTATTGATGTTTTGATAAACGCCAGTACTGGTGTGTCAAGCCAATGGTCAGTTTGCTTACAAAGGGGTAAATGATGCTGGTAAATGTTGACATTCACTAGATGCCTATCCACACTGCACAATTCCTGACAATCCCTACCTGTGTTAGTTTCCTTCCGTTACCGTAACAATGCACATTTCCTATTAAAAATAGGACTTTTATTAGTTGTGAATTTGTTTCACTTAATCAAATGATGGTAGAAACCAGCATACCTGGTCCTCGGGAATATGTGGACTGCAGGCAGGGTGTTCGTTGTCCATCCTCATCTGTGCTTCGCTCTGTAGATTAGCGGATTTTTTTTTTTCTTGGCAGATTGGCTTGATGAACAAGACAGAGGATCTGGTTATTACCTACTCCAGACATCTGCTTACAATGTAGCCAAGAGAGGGATACCAATTACCTTCAAAACTCCCAAGGAAGGGTTCTAATTGGTCCAGTTTGGGTCAGGTCCTCATCTCCAGCCTTTTCCCTGTTGTCAATAGACTTGTCTTTTCCTAGTTTTCTACAAGAAAGACTTCCTTTTCCTAGTTTACTAGTATTCTACTCTTTCTCTACAATTTAAGTTGTAATAATGACAACTTAAATTTAAAATATGGCCAATAAAATTAAATGGTACCTAAGATAGGTCAGCTGGTCACCCTGACTGGACCCCCACAGCAACACTTAAATTTGTTGACCATAGTGTGGGGTCCAGCCTTCAGTCTTGCAAGGTAAGAGGTGACTATCAGTACAAAAAAAAAAAAGATCTGAATCCTGGGTGGTTTAAAAATTCACCAAGCTCTTAGGGTTTTATGCATAAAAATCATTCATGGGGAGAGATGTAACTACCAAGTAGACAGCTTCCTCTATTTACTAATCAGCACTTTTCCTCCTATAGGCAAATCCAAATGTGAAGCCAAATATGATCCAAAAATTACTTAACAATCACAGAATTAGAGGAGAAATGAATGAGATCATCTTAATGGCTGGCACCCAATAGCAAATGCATGCTCTCCAGAGACATTGCCAATTCTAGACATTTTGAATTCCTTCCTTTCATAGATGCATGCCAACCACCTCTTACTCTAAAAAAAAAAAAAAACAAAAAAAAACAAAAAAAACAAAAAAACACCTCTTTCTTCAAATGTAGAATACAATCTTTATTTAGGTATACAAATTTTTATTTATATTTAAATAAATCCGTCCCAGAATTTCTACCCAGATGACCTGGATTAGATTTGAGGTATTCAGATAATATTACATCATTTCTAGAGACCTCCCTCCAATTTCTACTTTTCCTAATTTTATTCCTGGAGGTGTGACTTTCAGTTTTCAGAATACCATGTACCATCTAGAATATTCAGGAAACACACACACACACACACACACACATACATTAAGGCTATTTTTAAAATAAGAACAATTTTCACAAAGACTAAGTGGAAAATGCTAAATGCAAAGCTTCTTTCCATCTTTATAAGCATATAAAAGATACCTTGTATTTCAAGTCATCTGTAATATAGACATCTCAATTTTCAAAATAGCCAGCAATTCAGTAGCATTAATAGACACAGGCTACCTAACTTCATAATAAATCTTACTTCTATAAATCTGATTGCTATCACTACCAGGAGTTTAAACCTTATGAGCAAAGAAATGTATAAAAATTAATGGAACTTGCATAAAAGGAGTATCATCTTATGAAAAAAAAAGTTCAAACTAGAAAGCATGGTTTCAATACAACTTTGTTTATAAAAACAGGTAGACTGGATTAGGCCTGTGGGCTGTGATTTGTCTAGTCCAGTGTTTCTCATATAGTGCTCTATCAGCATTTCTTAAATGCATTTGTTAACAATGGAAACTCTCAGGCTCTGTCCCAGACCTATCAAATCAGGGACTCAGGATGGCACACCTAGCACCCTATTTTAACAAGTCCTCTAGGAGATTTTGGTGCAGGCTAAAATTTGAGAACCACTATTAGTCTTCCAGATTACCCACAGAGGACTCTCCCATCCCATAAAGTATTAATAACTAATGTGATTGATAGGTCCAACTTCACCAAACCCCCCTCACCACTCTATTTCCCTCCTCTTCTGAAGTTCCTACCCCAATATCCCAGGGGCTGATGTATCCCAATCCTCATCTCAGTTGACATTACTGCTGTCTTGCTGCCCCAGACACATCCTCCTTTTCCCCACTAACTAGGACATGGCCACTCTCTTGAATTCTGCAGCTCCTCAAGGTAATACATTCTCACAAAGCCACCATTTCCAAAGCACCCCTGCCCTAGAACACTCCCAGCCTGGCAGGGAGCTGAAGTTTCCATTCTCTGCCAAATGTCCCAGAATCACCCTTCTCCCTCTCTGCCTTACCATCCCCCTGTACCACTCCACCTCCATGCCCTGACCCTAGGGCAAGTAACAATTCTTTCAAGGGAAAAATCAATACCCACTTTTCACATTAACATTGTATAACACTCTGCATCCCCACCGTCATGGCAGTCCTGCCTTATTTGAGGTTTTGCTTTCTGCAGTTTCAGTTACTCATGGTCAACTGTGGTCTGAAAATATTAAATGGAAAATTCCAGGAACAATGAATACATTTTAAGTGTTGCACCATTCTGACAAGTATGCTGAAATCTTGCACCATCCCATGCCATCCCTTTGTCCAGCATATCGACTCTATATATGTTACCTGCCTGTTAGTCACTTAGTAGCCATCTTGGTTATCAGATCAGAAAAAAACATAATATACACAGTATAGCGTTTTGGGGGTTTTGTTGTTGTTGTTTTTGTTTTTGAGATGGAGTCTCACTCTATCACCCAGGCTGGAGTGCAGTGGCACAATCTCGGCTTACTGCAACCTCTGCCTTTCAGGTTCAAGCAATTCTCCTGCCTCAGCCTCCCAAGTAGCTGGGATTATAGGCACATGCCATCACACACAGTTAATTTTGTATTTTTACTAGAGATGGAGTTTCACCACATTGCCCAGGCTGGTCTTGAACTCCTGCTCTCAGGTGATCCACCCACCTCACCCTCCCAAAGTGTTGGGATTACAGGCATGAGCCACTGCGCCCAGCCCGCAGTATAGAGTTTGGTCCTCCATGGCTTCAAGCATCCTCTAGGGGTCTTGGAACATCTTCCCTATGGATAACAGGGCACTATTATACTGCAACAAAAATAGAATACGTGTGACCATGCAGCTTGCATTGGAAAGACAAATAATATTAACACATGTCCTCTCCCCCTCCTCCTGTGTTTTCTGTTATCATTGAAAAATGAACTTTCAAAGTTTCTACTAAGCTTTGGGTTGATGGACAGTCATTTAGGAAATATTAATTTCCCTTTGATTATCAAAAGCCTAGTCAGGAATGGAGATGCCAAAGAGTGGGGATCCCACGGGGGTACAAGGGGAAGAAAATAAGGAAACAACTCTGCTGAATAATCAGACGGGATCCCTGGGGTTAGGAGATCAATGTTTGACTTTCACTGGACAAACTCACAGAAACAGTCTGGAGGACTGGGTAGGGGTGGGGCACAGGCTGGACTGTACAAAGGAGAAATCCCAGGGGCCAACCATTTGCCAGGAATCTGGTGCCTAACCATACACATGGATACCAGTAACGGAGGCCATCATCACCTACTGTTGCTTCCCTAATTTACAAACTGTAAAGTCCGTCACCTTGACATCAGACTTGGGGAACAGAACGAGAGTCAATCTTGTTAAGGGAGAAAGTATCTGACCCTTGTTGGAATGTTCTGAATTCAGACAGGCATACAGTAGAGCAGGAGAAGGATGGCAATTTCTTTTGTGAAGATCTCACCTCTTCTATGCCCTAAGTACTGCTAGAAATTAATAAACTCTTTTCCTTTCAGCCGGAACCGCCATCTTCTAGTAATTCGCCAAATTGACGAACACAAAGGGAAAGA